CCTCGAACAGTTTACTCCACTATTTTTGTACTAAATGTTTTCCCGTTTGATCAGCTGATGAATGAATTCGAATTTCCAAGATTTTGCCCTTTGTAGTAGAATCACCATTGTTGAAATGAGATGTGTTTGTGTCCAACGCGGTTATCACCGTTTCACGCTACTGTCATAGCTGTACGGTTCTGTTTGTTCAACAGATCTGTGGATAGCTAAATCGAGTCAAGTATGTGCTTTATGCCTACCAGAAGTGAACATTCATCAGAACTCACGTACCGAGAGCGCGTAAACTTAAAACTGAGAATAGAAAAAATGAAATAACTGCAACAACAGTTAATCCAGCTGGGTTTTTCAGGTAGTTTTGAGCACGTTCAGGTTGACACAGAGGGTTCGCAAAGGATCGATTTTTATGAAGTACTTCGTGCAAATAGGTTCTTTAATTTCGGACTATGTTGCTACAGATTCACTCTTATCAATGAGGAGAGGATGTTTCGTTTCGATTAAATCTTTTCCGGGGGTTGAAAGTGTTCTGCAGTGACGCTCGATAAACTGGGTCCAAGTTGGACCACTTCATACGAATTCCAGTTTGGAGTCCAGGCCAAGGAATATTCCTGAGGAGGCATATCACATACCGGATGAAATACCAGCATATGCCAACCTTTTGATTAGCATGTGGGGAAAACAGAAATATCTTAGTCAAACGAAGTAAGCTTTCGGTTGGAAGTAACGCCGAGTAACTGGCGGGTTAAAGTTTCATCATAGACAGGTTCATCGNTCGGAAATGGTCTAGTACATAGAAGATAACATAAGCGTACTTTATTTGGATAATCCGGAAAATGGGTAATTTAGATAAATACCACACCTTATTTCCCGATCACATTTCCAGTTTCACAACAGCTCGCAGCGGATAACGTGATGTGACGGCATTGCGTCACCTTATCCCAGTTTTAATGTGTTCCTTTTACGAGTTCTAACCGATGCAAGTCAGTTTGTCGTTTATGCTGGTTCTTCCATGCCTAGTAGTGTTGTTTTTAGAAAATAACAGAGAATACAGCTACACCAGCATGAAAGCGGTTCGCGTGGGCAACAAATCATAATAAAAATTTGGATGATCAGTAAGATGGAACCAGGAGGTCAATCAGTTGCAGTGAATGAACATGTAAACTCTGTTTCTAAGTCTGAAGGGTGCGATGGACATCTAAGTACTTTATGCTCTCGATTCCTGATGAATTGTGTGCGGTCGAAGTTCGGGAAATCCAGTTGTGACATGACTTGAAGTGCTGATATCGATTGTCATAGTACACACAAGTAGTGGAATCATTTCCAAGTCTAACTGAGCGTTAAGTTCACAGTACTTGCTAAACCCAACAATGTTAAAACCTTGTTCTGTCCCAGGTTAAATAGGTAGATAAGCATGCAGTGAACTAAGCACATGTGTCCGGTCCACAGACACCGGTGAGCAAGCAGGAACGGGCAACACGCAGGCAGGCGGGCCGACAACTGGCTCAAGCGTTACACAAAATCCGTACGCCGTGAAGCCGGAATTCGAACAATCAACAAATCAGTCAGCGAGGATAGTTCAACACTAACACCGGATTGACTGTAGCCGATCGATGCTGTAGTAGAGTGCTTGGGTACGTGCTAGCAGACATCATCTGTCAATCAGTCTGGCCACAGATATGCACAACAAACGCACCAGTCACTTGTAGACCACAACAAATCTCCCTTCTACAAGTGACTGAAATCCCCCAGAAACAGTGCACAAGAAAGTTCTGATATCTCATTTTAGACTGGTAGAATTTGAGTGGGTACACCGAAACTCATTGCGGGGAAGTGTAAAAAATAATAAACGAACAGTAGTTCAGTTATTAGGGGCTTACATCAAGGCAGAGAACCCCTTATTTTGGTGTTGTAATAGATAAACAATATCTGGCACTAGTGATGATTCATGCACATGATCACTCCTCTTCTTCCATGTGTACATCATATCCCAAAGAGAAAAGCTATCTGAACCCGTTCGAGGTCATATTTGTTCTCTGATGTTCTCAGCCGTTGCCCCTTTGAGTGTTGTACAGCACAACTCTATAAACGGTCTCACAATAACAGACAGACAGACAAGCCTGCGATCTCCTTCATGTCACATAACAACGTATGCAAAAAAGGGCTACACTTCGAAATCCAAGACTATAATTTTTATGGGAGTGCGAAAGGAACATTCAGGCTTAATCGAATGGCTGATTCTACATTTAAAAATAAGTTGGTTGTAAATTGGGGAAAAACTCAGAAGTTAGAATTGCCAAACCCGGTGGTATTCGCCGGGCATGAATGCTAGCCAGTTGCGTGCTGAACATACAATTGGACTAGTTGATGTCGGAAAAGCAACTTTGGTTGATCCAAATCCAGAGTGGTGATCGTAGATTAAGGATATGTAGCTGACTGGATGAATGTGCGCTGGTTACTGTTGTTGCTCACTGCCACTTTCGATTGATTTAATTGAGCTTTGTAGCCCTGTGGCTTTCTGCTTATCGTTATTCAGACTTAAACGATAAACAAAACCCTCAGTCCATGCAATCAAAGATTCATTCACGTAGCATCAGCGAGTTGAAGTTCTCTCAAATCAGAACTCATCATGACACATTCATCCGGGATGTGAATCCGAAATTCCTCACGTATAAGTGGTGCCAAGCGGCTCGTAACATCGCCATTGGTACTTCTTTAGCTTTTGATGTATTGTATAACCGAGAAAACGGGGTAAACAGGAAATTGGGGGAGCTGTCGTCAAAAACGTATTTCAACTAGCTGGTGGCAAATAGTCTTCTCTTTGTATACCGAAACCCGGCTTATCTGATTTCCTTCCTAATGAATCACATTCGGTGGATTCATCGTTTCTTGTCGCCCATCACATTAAAGCGACCCCGAATTAAAGTGAGGACTGAATAACAACAATTTAAAAAATTACCTTCCTTTAGAACTTCATTCCGTAGACTCCAGGGAAATGTAAGAAACACCTGTCGGGCATTCAGCTTGCATTTCTACCTGGTGGATTCCATACGCCTCTGTTAGTTGGATGGGTGATTGGAATGTGAAAAGATCAGTGCCATCGGTGTGGTCTCGCAGCTCAGCTGGTAGAGCTTGCGCTATACAAAGCTTAGACAGCTTCCGTGAGTGGGTTCGAATTCCAGCGAGGCTACTGAACTTTTCACAACTTCAACGTAAAACCTCAGCCTGCCCAACTTTAATCTTAACAATGGTCAAAACTAAGTGTCTGGGTATAATTTCTCGGATTGTGTATGATTCCTCTGGGTTCGTGAAAAAGCTTT